TCGAGGGCCGAAGGGCCTGTACTGCGCTGTTATGTTCTATGTTCTATTCTGCTTATTTTTGCATAATGGAGATAGTTCCTCTCTAGATCTGGTTTCACAAGACAGTGGAAGAGAGAAGTGTGGTTGTTTGAAGTTTCTTGATGGGGAATTGTAAATTTATAAAAATCTTCTTTGTTTAGATTGTCTCTTACCTGTTCTCTTGACCTTTGTTTGTTGTCTTTGTCTTTTTCTTTTCTAATCTTTTTTCTATTAAGCAGTGTGCGGGTTAATTCATTCAAGTCAGACTGTGTAATTGGTAAGGTTTTATCCCTCATCCTGGATGAATTCAGAATCTTACTGAAATTCCACTTCCCTCGGGATTTCTTTTCTTTGGAGGAGTTTGCATGAGATTTGAGGTGCTCAATTGAATTGTTTAAATAAATTCAAGAGGAAAGGCTTGCAGGGTTGTAGAGAGTGAGGCATTACGATTAATTGATCTTTTGAAGAGCCCAGCATGTGCACAAATTGCCGCCTTCCTGTGATCTATTCTATGATCCAATTTGCTTTGTCTTTTCTGATATGTTGAGAGATCTTTGGGGTCAAACATACAATCACAACAGATGTATTTCACAAATTTGTATCAAATTTACAGCTTTCATTTAGTTTAACATTAGTTATTTTCTAGGATCTTGCCTAACATGTTGTTTAAAACATTAAAAGGGCCATCTGGTATTAGCCATAAATTGACTGTTCATTTCTCTTCTCCCTCCGTCCCCTGCCCCCATCCCCCAAAAACAATACGTGTACAGCTCGACAGCTTACAGTGCAAATGATGCAGAATCCACGGATTTTGGCAGCGTTACAGGAGCGACTTGATGGGCTTGTAGGAAACCCATCTGGTTATATAGAAAGGTAAGCGATATCAACAATGCACCTTATCCTCATGGTCCTGTTGTTGCAGTTTTTTGGTCATTTATCAGATGTGGGTGTCATTAGCTGGGCTGGCATTTCTTGTCTGTTGTCCTCTAGGATAGTGGTGAGCTGCCACCTTTGAACAACTGCGGTCTCTTTGATCCCAATTTCCTGCACTTGTCAAATATTATTGAATGTTATGTTATTTGAAGTACTCGGCCAAATATTTTTAAAGGTTGTAAGGTTTGCGGCCTCCACTACCTTCCCAGGCAGTGCATTCTAGATTCATGCACACACACCCTCTGAACCTCCTGCCTCTTAAGGTAAACCTATGCCCCCTCATAATTGACCATCACCTAAGGGGAACAGCTGCTCTCTATTCACCCTGACCATACCTCTCACAATCTTGAATGTTCTCCCTCAGTCTTCTGTGCTCTAAAAACAATCCAAGCCTGGAACCCGCCAAGCTGGTTCATTAGTTTACAGGCATTTCATTACCCTGCTGGGTAACATCATCAGTGCAGTCTCTGAAGCGCTGTTGTGTTTTATCTACTCAAATCTACTCCAGAACCTCAATTTCTCCATCCCAGGCAACATCCTGATGAGCTTCCTCTGTAACCCCTCTAGTGGTATCACATCCTGTCGTGAGGTAACGAGAAGTCCACACTCCTCCAGGTGTGGTCTGATCAGCGCTCCGTACAACTCCAACATTACCTCCTTGCTTTTATACTCTATGCCACAACTGAAAGCAAGTGTCCCATATACCACCTTAACGATCTTCTGCATGTGCTCTGCTGACTTTAGGGATCTGTTGATAATTACCCCAAGATCCCCCTGTTACTCTAAGCTACCGTCTGTCCTGCTATTCATTAAATACTCCCTCATCTTGTTGTTTCTTCCAAAGTGCATCACCTTGCACTTACCAGGCTGTATACCATTTGCCACTGGTCTGCCCACCTGACCAACTCATCTACATCTTCCTGCAACCTACAACCATCATTTTCACTACTAACCATTCTACTAGTCTTGGTGTCATCTGCAAATTCGCTTAACACCCCCATACTTTCATCCTGATCACTTGTGTATAAAACAAAGAATAAGGGTTGCAGTACTTGGATAAGGTGAATAGCCAAGGTCATCTTCCAAGGGTAGGGGAGTCCAGAACTAGACGGCATAGGTTTAAGGTGCACACATTTGCACACAGTGTGTTGCATATATGGGGTGAACTGCCAGAGAAAGTGGTAGAGGCAGGTACAATTACAGTATTTAAAAAAACATTTGGACGGGTATGTGGATCAGAAAGTTTAGAGGGATATGGGCCAAACGCAGGCAAATGGGACTAGTTCAGGTTCGGAAATCTGGTTGACGTGGGCTAGTTGGGCCAAAGGGTCTGTTTTAGTGCGTTGATCCTTGCGGTGCACCACTGGACACCGGCCATCAGTCACTCAAACAGCCTTCTACCACTACCTTTGTGTCCTATTACTGAGCCAGTTTCTGATCTACCTTGCCAAGTTTTTCCTCAATTCCATGTGCTTTAACCTTCTCAATCAGTCTACTGTGTGATACCTTGTCAAAAGCTTTGCTGAAATCCATATAAAACTACGCCACCTGAACTTCCCTCATCCACACATGATCATATTTTCAAAAAATTCTACACATTTGTAAGGCATGACCTCCCTCCAAAAAAAAGTCACGCTGACTTTCCCTAATTAACCCATGACTTTCCAAGTGGTATTAATTCACTCCTTCAGCATTTTCTCCAATAGTTTCCCTTATCACTGACTTGGCACTCACTGGTGTGTAATTTCCTGGTTCATCTCTACCACCCTTTAAAAGTAGAACTGGGACTTGCCCCATGGCTAAAGAGGAATTAAAAAAAATTGTCAAAGTCCCTACAATTTCCTGCCTGCCCTCCCACAGCGGCCGGGGATGCAATTCATCCGGGCCAGGGGATTAATCTGCTTTTTAAGCCCGACAGAGCCTCCAGTAGCCCCCCTCCCAATTTGCTGTCTCAAACTGTGCAAGTTCCTCACAATCCCTTTTCCCTGAATTCTGTACCTTAGTTCTGTTTTTTTCCAGAGTAAGAGAAATATTCATTCAACACCCTTTCAATTTCTGCAGCCTCACACGTAGTTTGGGCCCTATTCTTTCCCTGGTTGACCTATTCCCTTTAATGTTTTATAAAATATCTTGGGATCATCCCTAATCCTGTTTGCAAGTCCTTTTTCATGCCCCCTTATTGCTCTTCTAATTGCTTTAAGTTCCCTACTGTACTTCATGTATTCTTCTCGGACTGCAGTTGAATTGATCCCTTTGGATGACATCTAGACATCCAGAGTCCTCCAAACTTTGACCCTGCATTTCTCTCTAAAGGGTACATGTTGCCCCTGCCCCTACCCCTATAGCTCTGCTGTAGACTTCCCTTCAAAGAGCTGTTCCCAGTCTACTGTGGCCAGATCCTGCTTATTTTAATAAAATCGAAAACTGTCTTTTGGGGGCCTTTTTCTCTTCCTTGTTGATAACAAATTTGAATTGTGTCGTGGTCGCTCTCACCTAAATGTTTCCCCACTGCCATATTGTGAAAGATTGACAGCTTCTTTCTCCAGAAGCAGATCCAGCGCTGTGCTGTGCCTTGTTGGGCCTTCTATGTATTGATTCAAAAACCTCCCCAGATGTATTTCAAGAAAATTGCTGTCTCTTAAACCCTTAACACTATGACTGTCCCAATTTATCCTGAGAAAGTTAAAATCCCCAAATATAAATACCCAGTTATTTCTCTTAGACAACTGTGTGAACTGCCTACATATTAGCTCCTCTAATTCCTGTTGACTGGGGACCTATAATACACTCCCAGTAAAGTAGCTGCTGCCTTAATATTCCTAAGTTCTACCCACAAAGCCTTGTTTGAGGATCCTTCCAAGGTATCATCTCTCCTTATTGTCATAATTGACTCCTTAATTATTGGTGCTACACAACCACCCTTTCTACTCCCTCTTCTGTCACGCCAAAAGATCCTATACCCTGGAATGTTGAGTTGCCAGTCCAGTCCTTCCCTCAACTATGTTTCTGTGATGGCAACAATATCATACTTGCATGTATCAATTCACACCATTAACTCATCAGTCTTACCTATTACATTCCTTGTATTAAAGACCATCCAGCCTTGCCTTACTCTTTTGACACTCAACGTTGCTAAAGTCACCTGCTTCCTTTGCTGTAGCATGATGTGTCTCTCTTTCATTAATATTCTGTGACCCCTCTTCTACCAGACTAGGTTTAAACTTCTCCCAACAGCACCAGCAAATCTACCTGCAAGGATGTTAGTCTCAGCATGGTTCAGGTGCAGACCATTCCAAGAATCTAAAACCCTCTCTGTTACACCTACTTCTGAGCTAAGTGTTCACCCGTCCTATTCTCCAACTTTTAAATTTGCTAACATGGGGCGCTGGGAGTAATCAAAAGATGACAATCATTGAAGTCCTTTTTAATCCTTTGCCTAGCTCCCTGAATTCTTGATGCATGATCTCATTCCTAATTTTGCCCATATCATTGCTATCAGCATGTACCATGTCCTCTAACTCATCACCCTCCCCTTTCAGGATACCCTGCAGCTGCTAATTGACATCATGGTGAGATAACACACTATCCTGGAGTTGGTCTGTGTCTGCAGAAATGCCTCTCTGTTCCCCTGACTGTAGCATTCCCTATCACTGCTGTTGGGTTTTGCCTCCCTTCAGCTTACCTCCCTCCCTGTCTGGTGGACACCCACTCCCTTCTTTCCTCTCCTCTCGCCCCTTGAGCTGTGGTGCGACCACCTCTGTAAACATGCTATCCATGTAATTCTCAGCCTCGCAGTAGCGCCTCAGTGACTACAAGACCCAGCGCTCCAGCTTGCAGCTGGGAGCACTTCTGGTACATGTGGTCATCTAGGACACTGGTAGCATCCAGAACTCTCCACGTGACAAAGATGTACATCCTACTTGGCTGGCCTCTCCTGACACGTCCTAACTTATAATTCAGTCCAATGCATTAATTCTTAGTCTTATTTTGTTAGACTTCCTGCTCTATCACCTACAGTTATGATAAAGTAAACTGTAGCTAAGTTTCCATGGCTCCAAATCTGTTAGGAAATCAAAGGGTTAACAAGTAATTGTCAAATGCCCAGTACTCACCAATCCAGAGCTTTTTTCAACTTTTGAAGTTATGATGTCACCAGGAGCTGCATTTGAAGATTTTTGCAATGTTCCTGCAGCATCCTCCTGATGAAGGTGCGACCACCCCCAACCTAGCTAGGAAGGTGGTGGAAACAAAATCAATTGAAAAGGAAATTGCGTAGACATGTGACTGTAATGAACTTAAGTCGCAGGGATAGAAGGAGGAAAAGAACTGGGGTGTTTAAAAATTAAACAGATGTGGACTTTGCTGGCTTTGGATCAACATTTATTGCCATCTCTAGTTTTCCTGGAAGGTGGTGGTGAGCTGCCGTATGGAGAGTCAAATGGCTATCTGTTGTGCCACTTTTACCATATTCAGGGTTCTTCTGTATTTGGGGGATAAGGCATATGACTGCCAATTTCTGGTTTTAGTTACAGCCAGTAGTAAAGAATGATGAAACTGGCTGCGGTGATTGGAAATGCAAATTATATCTCAGTTGAGCTATTGAAAATACAGCTTTGGCTTGTGTTTCTTAAAAATCACTGCAGAGGGCAGAGGTGAGGTAAATTTGCGTCCATTTTGTTTGAATAATAGGAAGCAAGTTGACTTATGAACTGTATTGGTTTTTCAGCTTGCCTAAAATTGTGAAGAAGCGCGTAAATGCTTTAAAGAACCTCCAGGTGAAATGTGCGCATATAGAAGCTAAGTTCTATGCAGAGGTTCATGAATTGCAACGAAAGTATGCTGCTCTCTACCAACCCCATTTTGACAAGGTAAGGTATCATTTTTGTTTTGTTGAGAGGTGTTTTGCACCAGTCAATTGGGGCTGGGAACTGGGGGCACCAGTATTTGCTGAAATAGCATCTCGTGGATGTTCTTTTTTTAAAAATAAATAAATAAATAAATAAAAAATGAAACAATAACTAGTTTTGAAATGTGATTCAGGCTTGTGTACTGCCGACCCCTTGAAGATTGCATAATCTATGTGAAAATTGATTTCTATTGTTTAGCTGATTCAAAAAGTCCAAGATTTGCATTTATCTTGCTGGCACTGTTCACTGGGTCAGAGGATACTGGAAAGAACATGAAAATTTTTCTTTGCACTGTCAATGTTTTTTTTTTTAAAAATAAGGTTTCATTCTGTGGTTTTAAGAAAAAAGTCTAATCATATAATCCATGCAATAGAGGTTCTTCAGCCCATTGAGTCCAAACCATTAAAAGTACACCACCTATACTCAATATATTTCATACACTAGGCTCGTAGCCTTGAATGTTATGACACTTCAACTGGTCATCTCAGTACTTTTAAAGGTTGCAATTTCCTGCCTCAGGCAGTGCATTTCCAACTCCAACCAACCTCTGAGTGAAAAAGCTTTTCCTTAAGTCCCCCCCAACCCTCCTGCCTCTCACTTTAAAACTGTGCTCCCTTGTTATTGACTGTTCGACAAAGGGAACCAACTCTCTCCACCAGTTATCCAGCCTCTCTTTGTAGCTAAAGTACTCAGTCCCAGGCAACATCCTGATGAATCTTTTCTGCACCCACTCCAGCACAATCATGTACTTCCAATACTGCTTTGACCAGAACTGTGCACAAATCTAAAGTCCTGTACAGCTCCAACATTACATCCCTGCTCTGACATTCTAATCCACGACTGATAAAGACTGTATGCCACCTTAACTGTCCTATTACCCTGTGCTGCCATCTTCAAGTATCTGTGGACACGCACCCCAAGATCTCTTAGTTCATCTGAGCTTCCTTTATGTCCTGCCATTTATTGTGTCCTCCTTGTCTTGTTGCTTCCAAAGTGCATTACCTCACATTTAACTGGGTTAAATTCCATGTACCAATTTAATCTGCCTATCTGACCAACCTGTCAATATACTCTTTTTATAACCTAATACCTTTCTTCCCACTGTCAACCACCCAGACAATATTAGTCATCCACAAGCTTCTCTCTCTTACTATGCACACACTCTCACCTCTACATCATTTATGAATATCGCAAACAATAAGGGATCCAGCACTGATCCCTGTGGCATGTCACTGCTCACTGGCCTTCAGTCACGTAAACAGCTTTCTGCCACTACCCATTGTATCGTATCATTAAGCTTGATTTGAATCCGACTTACCAGGTTATGCCGGGTCCCTTGTGCTTTTACCTTTGTTACTGTTTTCCCATGTGTGCCCTTCTGAAATCTGTATAAACTACATCAACTGCCCTATCCTCAACTCACTACCTCAAAATACCACTTGATTTGTTAGACTCGACTTCACAAAGACATCTGGCTATCCCCGATCAAACCTTGCTTCTCTAAATAGCGATGTATTTTCTTCAAAGTCTACATTAGTGCTAAGTCTGAATCTCTGAATAGCTGCCACTTAACCAACTTATGAGTTACTTGATGTAAAGAGGTGGCTTAGGTGTAAAATATTAGGCATCAGAAAATGGATCTGAATTGGGGCGATTAGCTGGTACTGGATTACTCGTTGATTTATGGGAGGTGATGGTATAGTGCTATTATCCCAAGACCCTGGTAATATTCTAGAGATTCAACTTCAAATCCTGCCACAACAGATGTTGGAATTTGAATTCAATAAAAATCTGGAATTAAGAGTCTGGCCATAAATTGACTGTTGACTGTTGGAAAACCCCATCTGGTTCGTATGTCCTTTAGGGAAGGAAACCGCCATCCTTACCTGGTTTGGCCTACATGTGACTCCAGACCCATAGCAATGTAGTTGACTGTTAACTGCCCTCTGCACAATAAATGTTGGCCTAGACAGCAACACCCTCATCCCATGAATGAGTTTTTAAAAGTTGAAATTAAATAAAAACTTGCAGTTTAATTTCCAGTTATCCCTTTTTTTTTATATATGGCAATTTTCAGAGGGACTGCCCACCCCAGGATTGATCTCTGTATTTGATCATGTTAATTTAGGCATTGTCAATGAAATAAGCTCTTGGAGTTTTCTCACCTATATTGGATTTGTAATAAATCCATTATTAAACTGGTGTATAACTGGTTTATGATGCAGAGTGACATTTAACATCACAGATTAGATTACTGTACTGGCTGAGAACACCACAAAGATCCTTCTCCACCTCGCCTAACCTGAGGTATGGTGACCCTCAGATTAAACGCTCCACAAGTCACATCTCTGTAATGAGAGAACAACTGTAGTCCTTTGGGACTATGGGCGACTTTACCTTTTTGTACTGTAGCAAAATTCAGCAATCATTTCAGTACCGCTGATAATTGCTTTAATTGTTGAGATAGTTAGTTACTTTTAAAACTGGTGAGAAAAGCCAACATATTTAGAGCTAGTAAGCTTAATTATTGCTGAAAGACTCCCAAAATTCTTAAGTTTAGCTAAGACGATGTTGCAGTTTGTCTTAAAGTTTATTAGAATTTCTGCAAAACCTTTTTAAGATGCTACTTGGAAAGTAAAGCCAATTGATAAATTGTGAATGAGAAGTTCTACAATATGCATGCAGATATTTTTGACAAAGTACAGCTATGGGTGAATGGAAGGTAATTCAAAGGGTATAGTTTTAGCAGACATTACTATCAGCACGACTCTATCTTGATTACTGACTGTTGGCAGGGTCACTTGTAAAGACAGTATCTTTTCATTTGAATGTGACAGCAATTTTCACTTGTCATTCCTGAATGTGTCCGGTCTTTGTCACATTTGTTAAGGCTCCTGGAGAGTTGTAATGTGCTTTCACTTTGTTTCCTCTTCCTGTGAGCAGTTGGTACAAGAGTTAGGTATATGCAACTGAAACATGAGTAGAAGAGAAAAGTAACTTGCAGTTTTGTAATTCATTAAACGGATAGGTTGCAGAGCTCAGTCACAAGGTTTACCAATGCTTCCAAGGATTTAGAAACATTTAGTTGGATGATCCCCTGGAGAAAACTGGACTTGAAAGAATTTTAGCATGCACCAAATCAAGAATTGTACCATATTTAGCTCGTCTGAGTATTTTATCTAAAAAATGAGTTATTTGGTCATTTTAAGACTTTTAAATTCTAGTTTGAGGAAACTGTTTCCACGTTAGTACAAATTGAGCAATATCATACAAGGAGCTCATGCAATCCTTGCTAACTGATGAACTGATTTGGGAAATGAGCTGCTTTATCATATGGAGGAGTGTGTTATTCTCATGTTTCACTTGGATCAAGGAACTTCCAATAAGTAACCAATGTCTTGTCTTGTCTTCAGCGGAGTGACATTATCAATGCTGTCTTTGAGCCCACAGAGGATGAATGCAAATGGCAAGGAGATGAGGAGGAAGAGTTATCAGTAAGTATGCGAGCTTCTGGATGCTGGAAGCATTCATATTTTCCAAGATGGAATGATCAGTGTTGGAATAAAACCTGGCTGTTCCGTTTAATTCTAAGTTGAAACTAAATGTGGATTATTGTATTGGAGAACGTGAGTAGATTTGGGGGCATATCAAGGGATGCAGTCTCTTCATGTACATTGATTTTTGTTTTTCATCCATTTCGGATTTTACTTTTTATACTTTTTGGCTGTTTATTCCCAACTTCTCTTTCATCTCAACATTTGTCTTGGATCAGGTACACTATATTGTGCCAAAACCATATTCCACTGTCAAGTAAACTCTATCTTGATTATAAACTGTTGGCAGGGTCACTTGTAAGGACAGTATCTTTTCATTTTTGTGTTTTTGATTGTGGACCAAAATGGGGAAAAGACTGTTTTTGAAAAGTGAGTTGGTTGACACTCATTGTGAATGCTGTTTACAAAACTGCTTGCTCAAGCAGTGAGGATAGGAATGCAGATGGGTTGAAGCCAGGGTGGGTGCATAAAGGGAGGTTTCACCAGCAACGAGTAGCTGACCAGTCTGGAATAGTAACCAGTTGTTGAAGATTTTCAGTCTGGCATCAACTGTGATAGGCTTCCACGTAGCTGAACAATTTGTGGGTGTGCATGTTTGAGCAGAAGTCATCGGATCTCTGAAAGTGAAGGTATATTTCTCTCCTCCTTTTCAAAAAAGAATCTCGAGGTTAAAGAAAGCCATTACAATTTAACACATGATTTGCTGTAAGCTGTGGTTTATAAGGGGGTTAGAGTTTTAACTAGTCGTGTATGTTGACTGATACAATTGTTTATCTATGGTTAGAATCTATATATTTTTAATAAATAGAAACACCTGTCAAGTACATTCCCACCCTGGGAAAAAGACTCCAATTATCCACCATATTCATGTCTCATTTTATACACTTCTGTTAGGTCTCAGCCTCTGACATTCCAATGACAACAATCCACGCTTCTCCAATCTCTCCTAATAGCTAATGAACTCCAATCCAGGCAACATCCTGGTAAACCTCTTTCGCACCCTTTCCAAAGCCTCCCCATCCTTTCTATACTGTCGGGACTACAACTGCACACATTGTTCCCAATGTGGCCTAACTAATGTTTCATAGAGCTGCAGCATGACTTGCCAACTTTTATACTCAGTGCCTCAACCAATGAAGGTAAGCATGCTGTATGCTGCCTTTACCATCTTATTCACTTGTGTTCCTGCTTTGAGGGAGCTATCGACTTTCATCTCAAGATCCCTCTATATTGAAGCTCTCAGGGTCCTGCCTTTTACTGCATACTTTCCTCTTGCATTTGAATGAAATTTGATGTAACTTGTATGTCGTTAGCAAATCTCACTAGAATGTGATCTGGACCAATGTTCCCTTGATCAGTACCTACTTAGAATTGAGCCACGGAGTCTTGCCTTCATGTGCATTTGGAGTACCCGTTGTTAATTTTTGTTTTGTTAGGCCCCTGCTGTTTGGTTGATTGGAGTTGTTTCTTTCCTTCCAGGATGAAGTGAAAGAAAAGGTTAAAGTGGAGGAAGAGAAAAAAGATGAAGAAAAAGAGGAACCAAAGGGAATTCCAGAATTTTGGCTGACAGTCTTCAAGAATGTTGATTTGCTCAGTGACATGATACAGGTAGGCATTTGTAAATCCAGCGAACGTGAAATATCTAATTCATGTCTCTCTGCTGCTGTCGGTTTTATCTGGATTTATCAATCGGGTAAAATTGGAAACTTTAGATAATTTCATTAAATCTTTTCCAAATCTTAAAAGATTCAAGGAAATGTGTATTTTCATTTAAAAGGCAATTATAGTTTAGGGTTGCATATTTATTAATTAATCTCTTTTTCCACCTGTTAATGGATTAGTTGTAATAAATGGTTTTGTTTCCTTATTTCAGTGAAATTTTTTTTTTCTTGGCTAGTTGTCCCAGCCAGGCATGAATCACCATCATTGTTTACATTGTGACAACTTATGGAAGAGTGGTTCCTGTTTCCAATGCACTTCCCATCGGGGTCATTGTTTCAAAACTGTGAAATCTGTAGTATACAGTGTTAACTATTGGGGAGGCGATGGCCTAGTGGTATTATCGCTGGACTGTTAATCCAGAGACCCAGATAACATTCTGGGGTCCTGGGTTCGAATCCCGCCATGGCAGATGGTGGAATTTGAATTCAATAAATATCTGGAATTAAGAATCTAATGATGACCATGAATCCATTGTCGTTTGTTGGAAAAACCCACCCAGTTCACTAATGCCCTTTAGGGAAGGAAACTGCCATCCTTACCTGGTCTGGCCTACATGTGACTCCAGACCCTCAGCAATGTGGTTGACTCTTAGCTGCCCTTTGGTTAATCAGGAATGGGCAATAAATGCTGCGATGCCCTCAGACCATGAATGATTAAAGAAATAAAAATAACAAAATGGGGGAAGAAAAGGGGTTTAGATGTAAATTATACTGTGAAATATGGATGGCAGTGAAGCAGTAAAGATTTTAAATCCAGTTTAATTAGAGTCAAACCAAATAAAAATAAATGAGTAACATCATTGAAAATGTTTTTAGTGTATTAATTTTGAGAAATTTGGTATTTTTCATTTGATTACAATTAATTGGAGGGAGGTAACTAAATGAACTGTTGGATGCTATCTCAACATGCATGAAATTAATTCAATGTTTTTGTGATCCAATTGAGTCCTTATTAGCTATCCTAGATAGCCTCTGCCTTCAGCCTGTAGGGCGAACCTTTCAGCTTTATCCATTTTAGTAAAGCTTACTCAGATTTCACTTTGATTTCATGGATATGGGGTAAAAGCTGAAAGAACTCCGGATGCAGCAAATCAAACAAACAAATTGCTGGAAAAGCTCAGCAGGTCTAGAAACGTGTGGAGAGAAGTCAGTTGACATTTGGGGTCAAGGATCACTGGACCCAAAGTGTTAATTCTCCTTTCTCTACTCTAATAAACCACGTTAAAAACATCATTTTATTTACAGGAACATGATGAACCTATCTTAAAGCATTTGAAAGACTTGAAGGTGAAATTTTCAGACCCAGAACAGCCAATGGTAAGAATTACTTTAAAATTCATTGTAACAGCATCTTCAATATTTTGTGTATGGATTTATGTTCCATCAGCAATAAAGGATTTTGGTTTGTTTGAAAGAATGTCTTTCTATTGGTACAGAGATAGTAGGAACTGCAGATGCTGGAGAATCTGAGATAACAAGGTGTAGAGCTGGATGAACACAGCAGGCCAAGCAGCATCAGAGGAGCAGGACAGCTGACGTTTCGGGCCTAGACCCTTCTTCAGAAAA